CGGCGACTCCGGACTTCCCGGCCCCTGTGGACTGGGAGATTCTGTCCCCGGGAGGGTCTGAGCTCCCTCCGGGCTCTCCCCAGCACGGCCCTGCGAGGCCAGGCCGAGGTGTGCGCGGACGAAGGATCGTCGCAGCGGAGAAACCCACATGGTCCTCCCAAACCTGTAGGTCTCAGCAGCATTCAAGTCTTTGAAAGCTGGGGTGTGCTGTGTTAAACACAAGCCTAAAGGCCTCTTAGTGTTTCTCTCTATGAACAGCGTCCTGCAGTACCCACGGTGAGAAGGTGCTCACTCTGCCCTGCCAGGGGCAAACAGCAGTCCTGTGCGTCCAGGATGGGGAGTGAAGGAGACAGAGCCAGGCTTCTCTTGGTGGTGCCCCGGGACTGGACCGGAGGCAGCAGACATGAGCTGAAGCACAGGAGGTTCCATTTGTGCAATAAGGAGGCTCTTGTTTATTGTGAAGGTGGTCAAATCCTGGCATAGGGGTTGTGTGGTTGCCATCCTTGGAGATAGTGAACCCTGAGCTGTATGTGGTTCTGGACAGTCTGCTCTTACTGACCCTGTTGGAGCAGGGCTTGGGCTGTGCCTGCAACTTCAGCTCTTTTATGCATTTGGCTCATGTTACCTGAGCAGAAAGCAGCATATTTGCATCATAAACTGGATACTCTTCGTTATTATGATGAGTGTTGACTGTTTTATGCACTGTCAAAGGATTAAGAAAAAGGTCTGGGGTGTAGATTGAAAGCAGGAAACTTGTCAGCATAGTGACTGTTACCTTCTCCAGCTCCCCTCTGGCCCAGGAAGGCAGGGCTGGGGACACCTGTGCTCCTTCAGCACTAGGAGGTGGCTGCTTGGAAGCCCTGGCAGTGATCAGAGCATGCCCTGCATGTGAAACTGGTTTAAAGATGATTTTCCAACAATTTTCAACCGAGTTGTACCAAGACATATACTGTGTTAACAAGCAGGCTAGGTAATGAGTGTCACTCTGATAAAACTTTGGCTAAGAGGAATGGAAATTGAAATGGAGAGAGACGGGACTGTCTGGTAGCCGGGAGCCACCTGTCAGCCAACTTTGGAAGTGGAGCCTGCCTGTGAAACTCCGTTCCACCCCAGAAGGGTTTAGGGGAGGTGGGTTGAGGGGAAAGTGTAGTCTCTGTGGGCTGACCCTTCATTTTTTTAAAACTCTAAAAAAACCCACCCAAACCCACCCCTATTTTTAAAACAACTTTTACTAATTTCCAGTTCTGTGTGGTGGTACTTCTCAGGGTCTTGCGTTCACTCTGAGTCTTTGATTCCTGGAAGCCATCCTTCGGCTTTCCTGCCGTCAGGGCTCTGCGAGGGTGTAAACACTGCTTCAGGGGCCTTTTCTTCTCTTGCCTTTCTGTCTCACTGTGCACTGACAGCTTTTCTGATGTGTTGACCCCTCTCTCTGTGGCCTATGGCATGGCAGCTGTTAAAGGCCATTGGAAAAATGACAAATGCTCCTTGTCTCAGTGTTGGTCTCCAGTTTTCCTGCCCTGCTTTACTCTACTTCCTTTCTGTACACAAGAAGCATTTTTCAAGTTATCTCCCTGTGTACTGGCTTTTGAGTGTCTCAGGAACTTCAAGGCTGATGTTGGTAACTGCTAGTCTGCCTTGCTAGGCCAAATTAAATGCTTGGGGATAGTCCTGCGGCAGTGTATAAGGATTTTACTCAGAAAAACACTAGACTAACAAGGAGGACTTTTGCAGTGTTTTGTTTTTCAAGGATGAAGGCCGGCGCAGAAGCAGATGGAGATGCTAGCTGTGTGGCAGGCCCTGAGAAGGTGTGTGCTACGGCACGGTGCCGTCCCCACCGGGCCCAAATTCTCCCTTGGGTTTCAGTGGGTTACTGCAGCTGTGTCTACATCTTGGACAATGCAGCGGGTCTTGCAGTCTTGTGACTTTCAGCAGAGACTCTACCAGATGATGCTGGGAAGTTCGTCTCATGTAATAGAGCAACATTAAAAAATACAGTAAAGTGGCAAAATTGTAACCTAGAATGTGTTTTCTTTGGGAATCTCTGATAAGTGTGCCAGCTGTGCAATGCACATGTGTGTTTGTGTTTTGTTTGTTTTTTAAATGTGAGTAGAATTATTTATTTGAGGGTATTTTCCAAACTGAAGTGAAGGATTTCGTATTATGTGAGTGGTTACAAGCAGACTGGGTAAGGAGAGGACTGTCAGCTTCTAGGAGGGTAGAAGCAATGGTATTCAAAATCTTTTGCTGTATTATATGTGATACCTCATATACCACCTGTGCATAGTTATCCTCCACACTTGTCTGTGGCATCTCAGAACTGGCCCAGAAAGACGTCCTGTTGACAAAACCTTTGACCAGTGTGAGCCACCAGCGCTTCTGCAGAGGTTGTAGCCTGCTGTCCTGATGGCTCTTCACAGCTGCTGTCTTCAGTAGGTGCTCAGTGACCCGCCTGGCAGGGATGCTGTCTGGTGTTGATCCCGGGAGCAGATGTCCCCAGCTGGAGGTGAGGCGAAGGCCCTGCTCGTGGAGTGCCCTCTCTGTGCTGCTCTTCACTGGCCTGTCTCCTAAATGTCAGCCGGGCTGGTAGCTCTCTGAGGAAGAGCTGTGCATAGGCGTTGTCCAGGAGCCTGTGCAGAGGTAGCAGGGTGGAAAACGGGTGACTCCATATAGGGGTTTTCTTGCTGTTGGAACGAGACACACTGCTTCATACCAGCACTCGAGGGTCAGCCTCCAGACCCGTGCTGGTGTGCGTGCTAACCTCAGGATCACACACACGAACCTCCATGCAGAGACTCTGTGTCACAGGGCCATTCCTCTACCAAACGGGATCGGTTGCTGTGTTCTCACAGCATTTTTAAGAAAGTCCATCCAGCTCGATGTAAAGTGATTGATTTGGAGGTAACCTGGTCGGTGAGCCTTGTGTAGATACTGGATGCAGGCTGGCAGCAGCATGCATTGACCCGGCTGTACTGCATCCATCTCTGGAGACCCCAACACAAGAATGACATGGATCTGTTGGAGGTGGTCCAGAGAAGAGCTGGAAAGATGATCAAAGGGCTGGAGCACCTCTCCTATGAAGACAGGCTGAGGGAGTTGGGTCTGTTCAGCCTGGAGAAGCCTCCAGGGAGACCTTATAGTGGCCTTCCCGTACCTGAAGGAACCCTACAAGAAAGCTGGGGAGGGACTGCTTACAAGGGCAGGTGGTGATAGGGCAAGGGGCAATGATTTTAAACTAGAGCAGGGTAGATTTAGATTAGACATTAATTAGGAAGAAGTTCTTTACAATGAGGGTGGTGATGCATTGGACTGGGTTGCCCAGGGAAGTTGTGGATGTCTCATCCCTGGCAGTGTTTGAGGCCAGGCTGGATGGGGATTTGAACAACCTGGTGTAGTGGGAGATGTCCCTGCTCATGGCAGAGAGGTTGGAGCTAGATGGTCTTTAAGGTCTCTTCCAATTCAAGCCGTTCTGTGATTCTGTGATATCTCCTGCAGCGGCTGCTGTCTTCCGGGGCAGATTTCCTCCCTACACTGCAGAAGGGATCTCTCTTCGGCACGCAGGCGTCAGGTGCTTCCTGGCACCGACGCACCTGGGATGGGTGGTTTGTGCAAGCGGTGCCAGGCAGATGGGCAGCACTGCCATCCCAGCAGCAGGAGCATGGATAGAGGGCGAGGGGGCAGGTACCCTGGGAATGGGTAGTGCATCCACCCAAGGAGGGCAGGCGAGTGTCAGCATGGCACCAGGGGCTTTTGAACCACATCTTTGGGATATGGGGAAGAGGAGGAATACGTAACTACAACCTTAACCAGAACTGTGCTTTATCTTCAGAGCTCTTCTCCGTGTGCTGCTGAAAATGGCATGGACCCTGAGGAGGAGCCTCTTCTCAGAAAAAATCCCCGCCGGTTCGTCATCTTCCCTATCCAGTATCCAGACATATGGAAAATGTATAAACAGGCTCAGGCCTCCTTTTGGACAGCAGAAGAGGTGAGCCCTGGGGCCAGTGTGTTGGCACAAGATGCTCAGACCAGGGTCCTCACGCCTCCTTCCTAGCTCTGCTGCTGGCTCCTGTACTGTGAGGGCTGAAGTTAATCGCATCAAAGATGAGGTGTCTGCACCAGAGTAGGGCTCTGTTCATGGAAAGCAGAAAACAAACTACTTCCACAGGGAACTGGGTTAGATTTTTGGTGTAGGATGAGGTGGAATTGTATCCTGGGATGCTTTTATGGTATGTAAGTCAGATAGCTCTGATTTGTGGTCAGATAGCTCCTACCCTGCTGTCACCTCCTTGCCCATGTAAGATTTCTGGGCAATTTCATGTGAATGCTTCTTTAATGTTAGGCACCTAATTTGCAGAAAGGTGGTAGTAATCAGGGACACTTGCTAAAAATGCTTCTAATTTACTCCTAAATGCCCTGGTTAGAGGATTGCCACGTGTTATAATACAAGCTGTAAATTTTGCCAGACCTGAGTGGTACTCGGCTCGCTATGCTTGCAGCTGTGGAGGCTTCTAAACATTGCTCAGATCTGGAGTGATTACTTGCCAGCTGAGCTGATTGTTTCAACTCAGCTTCTGCAGCCCTTGCTCGTTTGTGAGCAGTGATCTGCAACTGCAGAGGAGTGAGCTGAAAGCACCGGCAGCCTCCAAATAGGCCAGAAGGCATCCTGCGGTGGTGGGGAGCAGCTGCCCATATAAGTGCTGTTCCACTGCCTGCCTGGGAGGCTTGGTGCCCTGTTGCAGTAGAGGTGAATTTAAACTGCTAAAGAAAAGGCATTTTCCTGCCTCATCAGCTTTGTTCTTTTGCCATATTACTGGTTTCTTACACTGTCCACCACCTGTTGGCGCATTTTTAAATGAACTGGAAAGTTAACTGTAAAACTGGTTTGTATGTGTATGTATTTATATACACTCATATGTGCATACATGTTTATACACACACATATATAAGTTTTTATGCCTCTATATTTCTCACATCTGGCCCTGCTTAACTGCTGCTGTGATTCAGAAGCCCCTCTGAACAAACAAACAAACAAACAAAAAAGACCTATGCAAAGGAAGTTGTGGTTTTCTACCATAGCTAGAGTTCAGTTTGGTAGACGAGAGCAGTTACCCAGAATTTGCTCCAGGCCGTTCTGTGGCAGGACAGAGACTGAACATCTGCCAAAGGCAAAAGCCTCCTCAGTCCATCTTCTGGCACACCTGGGTATAGGTTTCTTGGAGTATCAGCATTTATTTAAAGCAGAGTTTAGGTGTCTCAGAGTGAGCTCTACTTGTTGGTGCATGTTCACCCTTCTGACAGAAAGATACTGATGCTCTTAAAGCCACAATTTATTTATAATGCAATAGACACTGATTTTTATTCCAAATTACAAAAGCATAAACTGCGAAGCAAACACATGATGTTACTGTTGCAGAGGGCGACAGCAGTACTGCTGTGTGTCGTCTTTTATGCTCACATGTGTTGAAATTCTTGACGTGAAGATTTAAGAGCAAAACTCCGTCTCTGTCATTTGACAAGGCTGCTTCTGTTCTTACAGAATGACAGGGCAGTAACGTTTTTCTTTTTTTCTTTTCATTAGGTTGATTTGTCAAAGGACCTTCCTCACTGGAACAAATTGAAAGCAGATGAAAAATATTTTATCTCTCATGTTCTGGCATTTTTTGCAGCCAGTGATGGAATTGTAAATGAAAACCTGGTGAGAAAGCTTTATACAGTACTTGAATATTCATTATATTGGCTTATTGGATTTTAGTTTTGGTTTTCTCACGTTAATGCATAAGTTTATTAAGTGTGTACATTTTTTTCCTTTCCAACATCTCACCTATGCCAAGGGGCTAGTGTCTGGGTTAAACTGGGTCAGCTGTGGCTAAGCAAGACTCCAAATCATGTCAGTCTTGAACACATTTTCTAAGCTCGTCCTTCTGCCTGGCTGTGCTGATTTGTATTTCTTAATGAATTAATAGAATCATAGAACCATAGAATCATAGAATGTCTTGGGTTGGAAGGGACCTTAGAGATCATCTAATCCAACCTGCCTGCTATGCTTCTTACCATACTTGTGTTAGATGAGAAGTAGGAAGAGATTGTGCTGTGCCTTGCTCTGTAGTCTTCATTTTTTCTCTCACCAAATGACAGCCCAGAATCTTTTAGGGCTGTAAGTGGGTGCTGCTAACAAAATGAGGAAATCCTTCTGCTGAAATAAGTTCTGGGCTGCAGAGTGTCACACCACAAGTTATCAGTGGTATGTGACTGCAGATGCCCAGTTTAGATCTTGAATGTCTGTAGCATGGAATATGTCACAGTATTGTGTGCATATATTGCATGAACAAGTCTTATACTGATTTTTGAATGATGAACAAAAAGAGGCTTTGTTTGATATGAAATGTTTGCAATTGCAGCATTTTGCTGTTCTCCTGTGTACGTGTGCCCTCATGCTTCATTGCAGCTTTCTCTGCAATATGCAGAGCAGGTGTATTTTCTTCTAGCTAGCTTGCTTTGTTTTTCTTCTGCGCCACACCTATCCTATTGACATATCTGTGAATACTGTGGGGCTGAATTGCTCCCAGCCTCTCTCTGTGGTAGAGATCTGTTGTCTCTCCCTTTAAGCTTAAGAGTACTGTCACACAGGACTGGTATTGCTGCACTCATTGCTGTGCCTTTCTGGTTTTGGTAGGTGTCTCGTTTTAGTCAGGAGGTGCAAATCCCAGAAGCTCGTTGTTTCTATGGCTTTCAAATTCTCATTGAGAACGTTCACTCAGAGATGTACAGCTTGCTCATAGACACCTACATCAAAGATCCTGAAAAAAGGTAAACCGCTGGATGTCTGTGGGAAATCTGTCACCTAGTCCAGCACCACTGTTGTTGGGCAGCAGCAGCTGTCTTCTCTTTCATACTGTCTTACTGGGGGAGTTGGGGATGGTTCCTTAAGGCTTTCAAGACCTGCATGTCTGACCCCCAAAATGGATAGAGGTATTACTGACCAACAGGCTTGTGTGGGAGTGTCAGAAGGTTAATTAATATTTGTATAAATCGTTGAATGCAAGAAGTGCAGACTGTGTAGAGTGTTATTAAAGGTTAGACAAGCTCCTTGTGGTTATTGTGCTCCTGAGGTGCTTGTTCTTACATCAGCAAAAGATCTTTGAGTAGCTGAGTGCAGTTTGAGTGTTTCTACCATACACTTATCAATGTATTGCATCCTTTCAGCTTTTTTGTTGTTGATGCTTTTTTCATACAAGAACTGCTTATTTTTCAAGTATTGGGTTATTTGAAGAGTGCCGTCACCTTTGTTCTCTGGAGAACAGTAATACATTTAAAAAGAAGCACCTTCCCTCAGAAGGTCCACCTTGGCAATGGCCAGGCAAAACTTGGTTTCCCATGCTGGCAACCTGTGTGGTGGCAGTGGGAGGACCATAAGATTTCCATTCAGGTGTTTAGCGTGGGAACAGAGTCTGTGCTCATGGAAATTGTCCAGTTTCTTTTGTGGAGTTGAGCAGGATGAGGTTTAGCTCGGTGACTAGGAAGGGGCTGCCATCTTGCTTGAAGTATGAGAGCATGGTCTGGGTGGCACTCCTGGGATGGAGTTCACTTCCCATCTCTGCACTTTTCCTCCTCTGAGACCTTGGGGTTATTTTTTGCACATCTGCCTCCCTGTGCCCTTGTTACCAAAGATCATCTGCCCTTTGGGGTGGGAGCAATCTCTCACTTGGGTTAGCTCAGAACCTCGCATAAGGAGTTCCTCTGTCTGGTAGAGCCGGTAGGTACAACCAGGGCAGATGTATGTAAAACACTTCTTGTTATTTTGATATTTTCTCTTTGTTTTCTTCTATAGGGATTTCTTATTTAATGCTATTGAAACAATGCCTTGTGTCAAGAAGAAAGCAGATTGGGCTCTGAAGTGGATTGAAGACAGAGAATCCACTTTTGGTGTGTAGCTCCTTAAAAACTTGTTTCTGTTGCACATGTCACAAACTAATCCTCTGGGAGTCAGCTGCATCCCTGGAAATGAAATTAAATTCTCCACAGATGATGCAGTGGCTCGTGAGTCTCTGGTTTAACTAAAGAACTAGAAGTTCCTTCCAGTTTGGGGACCTGGCCTGGAGACCTGCAGGTCTCTGCAGCTTTGGTTGATTTCTTATGCTGAGGGTTTGATTGCTGCATCTGTTCTGTGGACTGTCAGCCTCCCAGTGTGCTCATGTTACATGGTGCGCTGATGGGCGATTTTTGTTTCAGCGTGTCCTTTGTATGCTTGCTAGTCAGGTGGAATGTAGTAAACACTGTGCTGATATTCCGTCTTGTGCTTCATTGAACTTGTATTGTATGAGCAGCCTTCCTCCGCTCCTCTCTGTAAGTAATCTAGGAGCTTTTTAGTGTTGCCAGACAAATTCCTTCCTCAGTAACTTCTGTGGTACTTGTAAATTCGTATTGTTCTGGTTTTTCCTAACTTGAATTTCTTCAGATGAGCCAGCAGATGGCATTTGCATCTCATAGAGGAAATGGGACATCTGGCTATTTTGGCTTTATTTTTTTAAACAAAATCCTTTACAGTTCTCACTGGCAAAAGGCACCAGCACTTAATGCAAAACCTCTTCATGTTAGAATATACGCAAGGGTCTTGTGAAGGTGTTTAAAATAGAGTGTATGGAATGATGTGTCTTCACTAAGAAGTCAGATGATCTTGTAGTCTGAAGAAATACATTCTTGTAGAGAACTGGGACCAATAAAGCTCTTGGGTGAGAGGTGAGGTAACATAAATGGTTACTTGTGTCTTGATGAGTTATGTTTGGTGTTCTTCCATTCTTCTAAGGATATGGTTTTTATGTAGATTCTCAAAAAAATTGAAATTGAGTTGTAGGGATATTTTTGTTTAAGGAGAAAGAGGTAAAGGAGTACTGATGTCTTGGCTACTTTGAACAATTACATTCTTTCCCTTCTGACCTGTGGCAGTTTCAGTGGGTGCCCTGGTTCTTCAGTTCTGCTGGAGTTGCCCGTGGTTAAGTGCTGCTGCATGTGGAGACTGGGTTTGCCTCAGGTTCTGCTGAAAGATGTGGTCAGAGAGCACCTGTTGCTGCAAAGGGGATTGCTGCTCTCCGCGTTGGTCTGTCTGATGTAAATCATGCATCTTGCTGATGAGTGATACGGTATTTTGTGTCTAACTGAAAATTTGTTATGTTAAACAGGTGAGAGAGTGGTTGCCTTCGCTGCAGTCGAAGGAATCTTCTTTTCGGGTTCCTTTGCTGCCATATTTTGGCTGAAGAAGAGGGGCCTGATGCCTGGACTGACTTTCTCCAATGAACTGATTAGCAGAGATGAGGTAATGCGTCATGTCCTACATACTGTCTGGGAAGGAAAGTGAGTTTCCAGGGGAAAGGCAGAGTCTTGACAGAGTGACCTGTTTCTGGTGGTAGGGAGAGTTGGAGGGAAGGCGAAGAGAGCAGAAAGTAGTGTTTGGGTAGGAACCAACGAAAAAGAGAATCCAGCAGCAAGTAGGGGGTGCATTTCTAGATGGGATGAAGCCTTTTTAATGTTGACAGTGCTGGAGGCCAAGGAGGTGGTAGAAGTCCGAGTAGGTTCTCTGCTAGCTGGTGTCAGCAGCAAGGTTTTACAGGGAAGATCCACTGTTCTGGTAGGACGAGGTCCTGGTTACCTGCCAGGTAAGTGCAGAACATGGTCCCTAGAGCTTCTCCTGCAGGAAGCCTTCTGCATCTGCTTTAACATCACTTCCAAGGCAGCACAGAGACTTCATTGCTCCAGAGCAGTGCCCAATTCTGTTTCTGCAGCCTGATGAAGGAGCTGTAACTGCTGACATGTGGGAAGATTGGAATCCTATAAAGGAATGGGCTATTCCTAGAATATTTGTAAAAAGGGAAAAGAAGCAGACTCCTAGCTATAAGTTACTCATGAACTTAAAGCTTGGGTGCTGCTAGGTCCCTCAGCAGAAATACCTGGTTTTAAAGGGAGTAAACATAAATATTTTACAGTATTACACAAAATTTCATGGTCCCCAACTGCACTGCAACCTGGCTCGGGCAAGGACCTAGGTAGGACATGACTGAGCCTTCCTCATCTGCTTCAAATAGGTTCAAGTGTCTTCCTTGTACCACTCTTCATCTGCCCCTTGCTGTGGGTCCCAGGAGAGTGCTTATTGGCCTCAGCTGGGATGTGTCCGAGGGGCTGTGTGTGAGCACGCAGAATGTGGAAGGCCACGTTCTGATAATTGCCCTTTCTTTTCACTGCTTCCTGTACTGCTGCTTGCCAGTTGGCAGCGGTTGCTTAAGGTTGGGGCCTGTCTTTAAGGCACTTTAAGGTGCTGTCAGCACTGAAAAAGTGGAAAGACCAGTTTTGTATGTGATATAAACATGCTAGTGGTTTGAACTTAACGGAGTTGGTCTAAAAGAATAAAGGGCTTTATCATAATGGAAGTAATTTCCATGGATGAAATAAACTGATTTGAAAGGAGGCGTCTTACAAGATGCCTTTAAATTAAAAGACACTTTTGAAGGAAGTGATATGATCGGTAAAGGAAACCGAAAAGTCCTTGAGCCTTGACCTTCCTTGTGTCTTCTGTTTCTGTGAGTCATCGTGGACTGATCGATTTGAGTGTGGAAGTGTTTGTTTGTTAGAAGGATCGCTTGCAGGTGAATGACGTGTAAGTTCCTCTATATAGCAGTGCAACTACTTCTCTGCAGAGCCGAGCACCAAAAGACTGACTTTGTCTTGAGCTCCGCTGGCATAATTCCAACAGCAGAGCTGTTACAAAGGGCAAGGCTTGGTGCACACAGCACCTGCATCAAAAACCAGGAAATGCTGTTACAAAAGCATCCACAATGGAAAACCACACAGTTTTCTGATGCACCTGAATAGATAAATGGTTAACGCTCAATATGGGGTTTTTTTATGAGCTGCAGGCTTTGTTCCCAGGCTGTTCTTTGACCTTGTGCATTTCTGATTGTTAAAGGTGCAAAGCTGCTGGGAGCACCAGTCAGCGGAGCACACTGGCTCAGGTGAGAGGCTGGGCATGTCCTGTGTCCTGCTGGCGATGTTGCCCTGGACATGACCACGGGAAGCCCTACTGGAAAGTTCCCAGCTAATGCTGTCCCTGAGGGGAAGCATTTCCCAAATTACATTGTTTCAGGGCTGTTTCAAGACCTAAAACACAAGGGGTTTGTAGCATTTCTTGCTTTAGTTTTGACCCTGAATTGTCTTATAGCCCATAATCTGCCAAAACCTTCTTTTGATTTGGCAAACTTCTCTTTGGCCGATAGTGTGCCAAAACCTGGTTTTCACTCCGGAAGTTCCGTCGTCGTGCTTACGGTCTGTCATCACCACCTTGCTGTTGAGAGGAGAGAGGGTAGCACAGTGCTCTTTTAGCTCTTTTAGTCTAGCAGTGGTGGGTATGGCTAAAGCCGAAGCCTCAAGCTCGAACAGAAACTGAGGCACCTCTTGGAGCAGTCATCTGGTACCTGCCTCAGACTGTGAGGGATTGCTCATCTCCTGATGTTGTTTTATCTTGGTTGGAGACTTTTCTGGAAATCTCAAGGGAATTTTACTGGGCTCTGTGCTGGGTGAAATGTGAGGGTGGGTTGAGTTAGCCTGAAGTTTCACAAACCTGTGGACGTTGTGGTAGCAAATTCCTTACAGTACCTGTACGTTATGTGGAGACAATGACTTGTTAATCTTGGATTTGGTGGTTGTAAACTGAAAATGCTGAAGAAGAAGCAAGGGAAGAAATACTGCTGAAATAATTTAAAACAAGTGTTTCTGTGCAGGTATAACAATTTGGGGAGCACGTAAACAGCTTGTGTGTAGTGGTTTGACCCTGGCCAGTGGCCAGGTGCCCACACAGCCACTCTCTCACCCCTCCTTCTCCACTAGACAGGGGGAGAAACTATATCAAAGCGCTAAGGGTTTCAGATAAGGACAGGGAGATCACCCACATCCACCATCCTGGGCAAAACAGATGTGATTTTGGGGAAGTTAGTTAAATTTGTTAAAGAACAAATCAAAGAAAAGTAGTGAGGAATAAAAACCCCAAATCTTAAAAATAACACCTTCTCCCCACCCTTCCCTTCTTCTGGGGCTCAACATCAATCCCAACTTATCCACCTCCTCACCCTGAGCGGCGCAGGGGGACAGGGAATGGGAGTTGTGGTCAGCTCATCTGATGTTGCCTCCTCCACTTCTTCCTTCAGGGCAGGAGGACTCATTCTTCCCCTGGGCCTTTGTGGGGTCCCTCTTGTGAGAGACAATTCATCGCACACTGCGCCAACGTGATTCTCTCCATGGGGTGCAGTTCTTCAGGGGAAGCTGCTCCAGCAGCAAGTCCCCTGCGGCATCACAAGTCCTGCCAGCCAGCCTGCTCTTGCACAGGCTTCCCACGGGATCACAGCCCCCTTCAGACACCCACCTGCTCTGGCGTGGGATCCTACATGAGCTACAGGTGGACATCTACACCCCGTCACACCCATGGGCTGCAGGGAGTCAGCCTACCTCACCGTAGTCTTCACCGTGGCCCAGGGGAGTCCCTGCTCTGGCGCCTGGAGCATATCCTCACCCCCTCATTTCACTGACCTTTGTGTCTGCACATATTCTCACTCTGTCTCTCTCTGTGAGTTGTGGTGCAGTTCTTTTTTCCCGTTCCTTAAATATTTTTTCACAGAGGCGTTCCTATCCTGTCAGTACTGACGGGCTCAGCCTTGGCCAGCAGCGGGTCCGTCTTTGGAGCCGGCTGGCCTTGGTTCCATCAGACCTGGGGAAGCTTCTAGCAACTTCTTGCTTCTAGCAGCTTCTTTCAGAAGCCACCCTTTACAGACCTCCCCCCGCCACCAAAATCTGGCCAGGCAAGCCCAATACACCGTGTTAACTGCCAGGTAGTTTTGCAGGTCTTGGTGTAAGAGTCTGTGCAAAAGCATCTCCGATGAGATGGCAGGAACCCAGCAGGACTCTGGGCAGGATCCCTCACAGTAGAGCAACTCTCAAAAGTATTTACTGGAGAAACCTGTACACTGAGTGTTACTTTGGCATAGGTGGCATCTGTTGGATTTCAGATGTTGCTAACTGGATTATAAATTAGAAGTGCCTGCTACATGTAGTAGCTTTCAAAGGACTCGGGAACTTCAACCTGAATGGGGTCGCCTCAAAGTAAGAGCAAACTAAGTGGAGCAGGGAAAAACTGAAGGTTTTTTTTTCTTTCCTTTTTCAATTATTCTCTGTTATTTCAGGGCCTACACTGTGATTTTGCTTGTCTGATGTTCCATTATTTAGTGAACAGACCATCAGAAGAGCGGGTCCGTGAGATTATCGTTAATGCTGTTGAAATTGAGCAGGTAAGCCTGGCCATGACAGCATTATGGGCAATGCAGGAGTAGTCTTACATGCAAAAATAAACAAACTCACCTCTAGCTTTTGGGTTTCCATGTTTGGTACATGACTCAGTCCTGATTCCCTGGTGCATTGTACCATTCTTTTCCTCTTTCTTTACATTGATAGTAAGAGTCAGAGACTTTTTCTCATTCAGTTGTCAAGCAGCTGTGAGAAGCTGAAGCTGGCAGCTGATTTCCTCTTTAGCAACTGAAAAGAAGAAAGGCTGTCTTATTTAGTATAGAATAGAATAGATTCAGCAGTAACGAACCTACAACAATCATCTAGTCCAACTGCAGCTGTCTCTTAGAGAAGAGTTTGTTTACCTCTGCCCTTTCAGGATCTTTATCTCTCCCTACCATATTCACATCCCTGCCTGTCCTCGGGAGAAGACAGGCTCTGTTCTGGTCACGTGTACTGTGTTGGACTCTTGACTTTTTCTGAGGTTGCTGTCAGGGTCTTTCATATGAAGTGCTATCCATCTGCAACTGCAGCTTTCTGCACTGCTGGGTATTTCGCAGGATTGTAGTTTACAATCTACTGTTTACTAATTCCTGTGATGATGACAAGCGCCCCAGCTTCACCTCATGACACTGACAGGTACTGCATTGGTGCCTAAATGTATACATGGCTGGGTTCAGCACTTGTATATCTCACTATCCTCTCCAGTTTGTTGTTCTATGATGTCTAGAAGCCAAGGTAAAAACTGGAGATTTCTAAATCTATTCCTGCTCCCACTAGTAGGGTCTGTAGGTTTTATTGAACTTGGAACTCAAGCTTACACTGAGGCTTGGGATGTTGGGGGGGGGGGGGGGGAAAGGCAGATGAGAGGGGTAGTAATAAAAATCCTTGTGCCCTCTCCAGAAGAACGTGCTCAAAATAAAGGAAGAGACAATCAGGTACTGAAAACAGCAGATATTGTTGACTTTAGTGATGCAAGTTATTTATTCAGATGACTGCCTGGGGAGCCTGGAATATCACAAATTGTGTTACTGTGAAGCACAGGTGTCTTCTCTCTTTTTCCCTCCTTAAATTTCGTTTCTCTAAATGTTGTCTGTGTTTTAACTTCTAGGAGTTTCTAACAGAGGCATTACCTGTAGGTCTGATTGGAATGAATTGCACTTTGATGAAACAATACATTGAATTTTGTGCAGACCGGTTACTGATGGAGCTTGGCTTCTCGAAGGTAAGAGATGGAATTGCCCAAAATGTTGGCCTGCCAGAACAGCCCAGGAAAGCTGTCAGCACAAAGCACTTTTTTAATGTACCTGAGAGCAGGTGATATTTAATGCTTGTACTTTCCATGAGTGACAGCTGAAATCACAGCATTAATATATATGGCTCACTATTTAAAAGAGCAAGAATAATTTAGGCCATTGTTTCTCTTCAGCTGCTCTGCAGGCTTGTAATGGGAAACTTACACTGTACTCCTGTGCTGCAGTCCTCAAAGCACCTTGCGTGGGTGAACTTTACCATGGACCAAACTCCTGGGGAATGACAGTACTGAATTTGCTTAAATAGGCGTCTCTGGATTTTACAGCATGTTAGTCATGGCAAGGGAAGATCTAGCTTGAGAGGATTTGACTGTTTTGTTTGTTAGGGTAGTAACAATGCTTTATAAAAACCCACCAGAATCACCAATGTAATAGTGTTTCCCTTCCCCAGGTCTTTCATGCAGAAAATCCTTTTGATTTCATGGAAAACATTTCTCTGGAAGGAAAAACAAACTTCTTTGAGAAGCGAGTTTCAGAATATCAACGTTTTGCTGTTATGGCAGAAACAATGGACAATGTCTTCACTCTGGATGCAGATTTTTGATAACCTAGCAAATGAACAGTGACTCTTTCCTTTTCCCTGTCTCAGTTTCTGCTGTGAAGCATTTCCTCTTCTGGAATTGGAGTCTACTGGGATTTTTTTCATGGGTTTTCACATTATTTATCTGAGGAGTAGATATATCTGTTTCTCTTCATTTAAAAAGAAAAAGAGGGAGTCCTTTTAAGAAAATTTATATGACTTTTTAAAAGGATGGCCTTTTAAAGATTCCCTGAACTCATCTGCTGTGATAAGTGTCTTTAAAAATGAACTGCATACTACTACTTTTTTAAGACTTTGGTAATGTTTTAAGAAAGTGAGCTGTGTATTTACCTCATGTTATGGTAATTTAATCTGAACACCACATGAGGTATCACTTTATGTATATATGTTGCTATAAATTATTTTCATGGTTTCTATTTTCATGTTTATAGATTTGGTCTAGAGTGGAAGTTCTTAGCTTTTGTCCAGCTGCCGATAGAGTAATAAGTGAATGTGGGAAGACATTAATAAAGAAAGAACTCTAAGATCTTATTAACCCCAGGGATTAAACCCAGCTTGATCTCCCGATTAACTTGAGTTCTCTCTGAAAATGTTTTTACTCTGGTTGCAAAGCTGATGCCTGTTGATGGAAGTTTAAATCAAATACGTGGGGTTTTGGTTTCACAGCTGTTACTGAGCAGGCCAGTAGACTCTGAATGGTCCTTGGAAAGGCAAGCCAGTTAATAGTGGAGAGAAGACACATTCTGTAGTTCTTTGCCTTGTGCTGCCTGGTTTTCCCTGCTTCTCTGAACAAGTGCCTTATTGAAGCAGTCTGTAGTTGCACTGAGTTGCAGTCAGCATCTGACATTGGAACAGCCAGCCCTGGGTATTCCCTTTGTTGTGCTGGGAGATTTGATATTCTTACCTTCTTGGTTTCATTTGTTCATTGATGGGGTGAGAAAGCATTTCATGCCAAGGAGATCATCCCTTGAGGTTTTACAAACTTAATACTCAGGCTATAAGGAAGCACCAATGATGTATGAAGGTGCTTCAGGTTGTGTGTTTAATGTGAGCTATTGAAAACATTGTCACAGAAGAGCTTCTGGAGGAAGGTATTAAAACTTTAAAAACCAAATCTTGAAGTAGAATGGAGTAGCAGCATTTTACAAAGGGCTGCTGTTTGGTTTTTGGTGTGTTCCAGTGCACACTGGAAAACAGTTATTTTTTCCCCCATGTCACATGCAGAGTGGAGCAACCGAGGAATGGCTAATGTACTGCAGTGGTACTTGGGATGGAGGGGATGCTATTCAGTTGTAGGTGGATTATTTGCAAATAGATATGCTCATTTTTTTCCCAAAGGTGAAATGAGTGTACATGAGCTAGACAGAGTTCTGCTTTGTTAAACCTAAACATTTTTTCATAGTGCTTAGCAATTTGTGTAAGAGCTTTACTGAGTTTTTCTTGCTGGTGCAAACATCTTGCACTGCTTTTGATATGCCTGGCATGAGATGAGCTGACAGCCCATCGGCGGTGGCGTGTACAGGTGTTATTTCCTTGCCAACCCAGATCAGCGATAACGCAGGGGACCAGAATTCTGTGAAACAGGCCCACTGTGTCTTAGTGTGATTCCTAGTGAACAGTTGGCTCTGGTGTAAAAATAAGCAGGCAAACTGACTCTTTTTGTTTGCTTTCAGTAACAGATCATAAGTATGTATTGAAGAAACAGGGCAGTTTGGTTTTTTTTTCCTTCAGAAAAGCCTTTTTATTTGAGGTAAGGTACTTTGGGAGGGCAGAGGGAGTCCTGGAGAATACAGAGAAAAGCTGGAACTGATGTCCCTCACTAACGTCATGTCCTGCAACTGCAAGAGAGCTATGGACTTGGAGAGAAAATCTAGCACCTTTTGGAAATACTGTGTTGATGGAGAATAAAGAGAAAATGTTGTAAATGGGTGGGTTGTTGGAGGAATGGAACCTATTTTTCTGTCACTAAAAGTACTAAAAAGCATTTGTTTCGAGTATTGTGAATTAAGATAATACAGAGTATTCAAATATGAAACTACTATGTGCTCAGGTTCTATAAATGTATATGTGATACCAAAGTGATACAGCAGCACCCACTCCGTTTGTGTGTAAAATGTGTGTAGTTTCAGTAAAATTGGAATATGGAGAGGAGTATGCCTTTGTTTGCTAGTTAAATGTCTTCTTGTGAAGTCCAAAATGATAAAATTGGGCTGTGCCAGCATAAGTCAGTGTTCACAGCTTTTGGGTTATGGAAGTTAAAAGTTCTCCTCCGTAAGCTGTCTTGTGCTTTACTCTGACTTGCTGCTTCTTGTTCCTGATAATGGAGTTGGCAGTCTAGGGAGCAAATAAGTATTTTTTTTTTTCCCTTTCTGGAACTTTCTGCCTCAATGAGAAATCTCTCGGGAGACCCTTCAATTCAAAGAAGAAACACTCCAGAAATGTGATTTTGACGTGTAGTACCCCATGTGTCGAGGGCATTGCGCCCTCCAGTCGTGCGCCCTGACTGTGCCCGGGCGCAGCAGCGTGGGTTCAGCCCCCCAAGCTGGGACAGCCAAGCCTGCCTGCATTCAGGCTGGGTCTGAGCTGGCAGAGCTCCACATCTGGTGGCATCTGCACCCTCAGAGGTGCCAAGTCAAAAGCTTTGTCCCTGCTGCCCCTTTGTGCCTCCCTGAGACAGGCATGAGGGGCACAAGGTCCCTTCCTCTCCCGGCAGAGCTTCAGAGCTCTAATCTCTGCGCTCTGGGTTGGAGTCCAAGGCTGGTGCGTGACTCCCATCATAGCCAGCAGGACAGAGAATGTGCTTCTGGAGGGGTTCATCTTGTGATGAAGGACGTGTCCATGTTGGTCAGGTGAGCAGAAACCTCTCTCACCTTTTAACATCCGAAACGGCCTCTGTAGCCCCTGCTGTTCTCAGTCAAGCAGACGCATGGGTCATAGCAAACCCCATGACTTGATCAGCAACAGCCACATGTGGCCAGCTCTTTCATCATGAAACCCCTGTGGAGTGCAGTAGGTCAGTGACTGTTCCCAGCCCTTGCTGGGAAGGAAAAGAAAATGGGTGAAGACAGGGCAAGTAGCAAGCTCACTCTTCCATATTTCTTGATAGCCCAGCGGTCATGTTGCTGGACTGGGACAATTTTTGCTGCAGATGAAGATGCTGTGCATGTGGCATCACACCTGGAGATGCAGCCACCCCCTGGCCGACTGTGCTGACTCAATTCTGCCGCGTTTCTCATCCTCGTCTTTGAATGTTGTTAAACAGTGAGTCTGGCCTCCCCACCCTGTTGCTCCCCAGCCTGCCACGGGAGCGCCTTCCTTTTAGCCCTTCCGAGGGGATGATCCGGCTCGTTTGCCTCCTGGTGGAGCCCTTGAGTCAGCAAATATTAATGTTTCTGTCGCTATGTTCTCTAGAGCTCCTCCTGGGAGAGAAACAGTCACTGGACATGCTGATGTGTTAATATTATGCGCAGCTGAGTATATGCTTGCCAGGAGGATGCTTGTGTGACCGGGGACCGCTCTCTGCACTGTGCTCTGTAGAAACACGTGCATGTGTGTGTAACCTTCACATGTACACAGACGTGCACGCTACACATACACAGAGGCAGAGTTGAAGGGAGAAGCCTTCCAACGTCAGGTTTTAGCAGACTCTCTCCCCGGAGGAGAAGGGCTAAGATGGACATTGTAATAATACCGTGCTTAAGAGGTGCTATTCCTGGTTTGTTGGCAGCTGCCTGCCCTGGGCACAGATGACGGCAGTGGCACAGCCAGAGGCTTCTTGCATCCCATCATACGTAATCTGGCTCTAGGAACCAAGGCTGCCTAAACCGTGAGGCTCGAGCTGTGCTCTGCTAACTGAAATCTTAATCTAAGGTTTTTTCAGTTTAACACACTGGCAAATCTGAGGAACAGCTGTTTGGCCAGTATGGAGCACTCTGAAGAACAGTAACTTTGGTTGCCAACTGGTTGAGCATAGCTCTGTGGACAGGCTTGGGAATTCCCTGTTGCATTTTGACACCTCTAATGAAATAAAAGAGGGTTTGTGAGTGACAGGCATGAGATTTCTATGACAAGCAGTGGTGCTGCCAATATCACAGCCTCTTGCAGAGCTCTGCTGACCGGAGGCTCCTGCCCTGCAGATCCTTCTTCCCAAATCTGCTTGAAGGGTTTACGTGGCAAATGTCTTTCCACCAGGACTGGCTGTTGCTTTGCCTGCACTGTTCATGACTGCATTGTCTCTAGAGTGGCTGGTGGCGTTTTCATGGGGACAAATCTGTAACATCATTTTTGAGGTGACCTGCCCTAGATTCTGTGGTCCTGCTCTGGCAGGGCCACAATGATCTCCAGAGGTCCTTTCCAACCACTAACATTCTGTGGTACTGTGATTCTGTTATCAGTCCCCTTTTTTTTTTCTTTTTCTTTTTTTTTTTTCTTTTTCTTTTCTGTAGTACACAGTTTGGTTAATGTTACTCTGAGAATGGCTCCAGGCAACTGCTGCAGCATCTCTAGCAAGCTTGTAGTACGAGGAATAGAGATGCTGCAGCAAGCTGTGTGGGCTCCCCCCTGCCATCAAGGGTAAGGTGGTGACTCCTGCCGTGGGGACAGGCCACTTTTGGGCCCTGGTGGTGCCTGTTCCTGTAGTGAGTGCCACTTGCTGCAGAGGCAGGAGGAAGTCTTTATCAACAGGTGATGAAAAGGGACCAAGGGATTGATGAGAAGTTGCTTTGGATGCTTCCACAGCTTCACCAGCAGGGACTGACTTTGGCTCCTGTCGCTCTGGTGCCCTGTGAATGTCAGAAAAATTCTATGCCAGGCTCAGCGACAGCTGGCTGACTTGCTGTGTGATCTGCTCAAAGCCTGTCTCTGCAAGCCCCTCCTAAATGCCATGCCACAACTCCTGCTTGGTGGGGCTAGAGACACAAGCTGCTGGCATGCCGTAAGCAGCTCTGCAAGGTCGCCTCTGCCCACTGTGCATGATGCCTGGCGTGGGGATGCTGTGACCTTTCAGCGGTGGCTCAGGCTGAAGTCGTGCCTGGCTTGCCCGCGCGCAGTGCCTGTGCTAGATGAAAGGTCTGCAGTGAAGCATGGGGCTCGCAAAGCAGGGGCAGACACTGACAAGAACAACGTTTGCTCACCCCAGC